GGATGGTCTCGATCTCTTGACCTCGTGATCCACCCGCCTCGGCCTCCCAAAGTGCTGGGATTACAGGCTTGAGCCACCGCGCCCGGCAAAAATGCTTTTAATAACTGCAAACACATGTAACTCTTACTGTGTACCAGGCAATGGGTGATGTTCTAAGAGCTTTACATATTCAAATTCATTTAATTCTCAATTGCCCCACAGAGTAGAAATTATTAATACCTTCCTTTTTTCTTTTTTCTTTTTTTTGAGACACAGTCTTGCTCCGTCGCCCAGGCTGGAGTGCAGTGGTGTGATCTCAGCTCACTGCAACCTCCGCCTCCTGAGTTCAAGCACTTCTCCTGCCTCAGCCTCTCGAGTAGCTGGGACTACAAGCATGTGCCACCATGCCCGGCTAACTTTTTTGTATTTTTAGTAGAGATGGGGTTTCGCCATGCTGGCCAGGCTGGTCTCAGAGTCTTGAACTCGTGATCCGCCTCCCTAGGCCTCCAAGGTGCTGGGATTACAGGTGTGAGCCACCACGCCTGGCCTAATACCTTCCATTTTAGAGTTGGCAAAAATGAGTCACTGAGAGGTTAAACCACTTATTGATGATCCAAAACCACACGGCTGCTGGGTGGTAGTGTTGGGATTGGAACAGACAGATTGGCCGCAGCGGCCTCTAAAATAAGACTACTGACAGCTGTATCTGCTGAGCACCATCTAGTCAGACTTTATAAATCAAAAGTCAGGCCTGGATTATCCTGTGGGAGCCTGGAATATATGAGGGAAATGGAACCCAGGATGGGTATCAGGGGTCAGGGAACCCCCATGACACGGTCTTTAGAAGGAAGGGTCGACCTAGTGTGGTGGCTCATGCTGTAATCCAAGCCGAGGTGGGAGGATCGCCTGAGCCCAGGAGTTGAAGACCTGTCTGGGCAACATGGCAACACCCGTCTCTACCAAAAATACAAAAAGTAGCCAGGCATGGTGGTGTAAGCCTCTAGTCTCCAGTACTTAGGAGGCTGAAGCAGGAGGCTTGAGCCCCTAAGGTCAATGTTGCAGCGCATTGTGGTTTTGCCAATGCACTCCACCCTGGGCGACAGAGACAAAAGAAAAAGAAAAAGAAAAGAGAACATGAAAGGAAGAAGGGAGGAAGAGAGGGAAAGAAAGAAAAAGAAAGAAAAAAAGAAGGAAAGGAAGGAAGGAAAAGAAAGAGAAAGGAAAGAAGGAAGGGAAAGAAAGGAGGAAGGAAAGAAAGAAAAAGAAAGGAAGGAAGGGAAAGAAAGAAGAAAGAAAGAAAAAGAGAAAGAAACAAAGAAAGAGAGAAAGAGACATCGAAAAAGAAAGGGAAGAAAAAAAGAAGGAAGGGTCCTTGGGCGCATTTCAGGAGGTAAGACACAAGGGTATCAGCTGATTGTCAAAGGGACATGGAATCTGGAGGCTGTGGCCTATGCTTGCTGGCACCTGGGGAGAGGGGTTCTTGGCCATCAAATGCATCCCACACCAGGTCTGGGCCATAGACTTTACAGCTGTTGCTCTCTCACTCACTGGGAGTTCCCACGGGCATCCCAGGTTCAATCTGTCCAGAACTATCTGGTGAATGACACCTCCACTCCTCCAGCTGTCAGGAAGAACACCTTGCACCTCTCTCTCTCTCACGCCCACATCCAGCCCATCAGGATGGCCTGTTGTTTCTAGCCTGAGCCTGAAAAATAGACCCAGAGCCCACCCATTCTCTCCCCTAAACCGCCAACTCCTTTGCCCTCACGCTGTTTTCCCCAACCTTGTCTCCTCCAGAGTCTCCCTGCTTCCAGTCCTCTCATTAATATCCCCCTACCCCATGCAGCCAGATAGACCCTGGGGACACCCAAGTCCCTCCACTCTGAGCCCTCCCAAGGAGCCAGCTCATGTCCCATGACCCATGAGGCCACACTTGCTCGGCCTCATCACTGCTCCAAGCTCATCCTGCCATGCTCCCCCTTGCCCACCCTGGTGAGGTCACACTTCCTCCTTGTTTATTTAGTTCAGCACATGAAATCTCATGTACTCCAAGGAGTTGGGGACTGCTACAACCCCTTTTTACTGCCCAAGGTCATTCTTTATTTTTCTTTCTTTCTTTTTTTGGGACAGTTTCTCTGTCGCCCAGGCTGGAGTGCAGTGGCACGATCTCAGCTCACTGCCACCTCTGTCTCCTGGGCTCAAGCAATTCTCCTGCCTCAGCCTCTCAAGTAGCTGGGATTACAGGCATGCGCCACCATGCTCAGCTCA